GGAAAAGAAATGAAGACATCCACAATAACAGCAAACCCTTCATTAATTAGGGAAATAGGAAAATTATGAGCAACCTTATTATATTTCACTATTCCATGTATAGTGGCCTTTTAGTAACTAATTGGTACGTAAAGCGGTCTCGGGATAGTGTGTCATATACGTATCTTATATCATGTAATGTTGGTTATGCGTATTACTGTCGTATTTCAAATGTATTCTATGTCAATAAATATTATTTACTTTAGAATCTCGTACTCTGTACGTCTAACAGTATGTTACAGATTCAGGGATTAGGGACGATGCCCTTAAAGCCAACCTAGCTTCCCCTATACAGTAAAGCATATGACCATATAGTCACACTTTTAGAGAACTAAATTAAGGATAGATTCATATAGTACACATTTTCAGGCTTTGATCGCATCATTTTTCGTTAAATTAAGAATCGAAGATATATAAAATGGAGGGCGGAGGAACAGGCTATACGCTATCTAACGCGTGTTTGGTATTCGTGTTCGTACACACATATATGTATCCCAATTACGGATGAATAAAATAGGAACCGTTATTAGGTTTTCAAACAGCTCAACGCGGAATTCATTGTCGTTAATGATGGTAAGTTTTCACACAGTAGATACTGTCTATCACCTCTACAGGCTATGGTACTGCTCACATATTATTACAATTACACTTGACCCCCATTCAGGCCGTCCGCAGGGTGGCACGTAAGAATAAACTCTAGACCTTGCCCAAACCAGATGCGCTTTACACAAGGCTATAACTCATTCCCTCGTAACATTCGTTTATAAAGTGCATGTTTCTTGCCAGGCCCGACGCGGGATTCGTTAGTTATGCATAGACTCCTCATATTAATCTGATAAGAGTCCCTTCACATGATTGCGTATGCAAACACGAATAAAAATGAGCAGACGAGTTTTCCGTTCTTCAAAGCATTTTCTTGCGGGGCTCCTAATTTTTCACCCCAGTAAGGTGGGTATATTATTTCGACGACACTGTGATAGAAAGCTAGCATTAGCAACGTTTTTGTGCGTGAATAAACTACGCAAACTTATAACTCCTATAAAAGTTATGAGTGGTGTGATGAGCTCCTGTAAGAGCGTTGACCGCATGTATAAATACATATGTAAGCGCATGATCGATCCTAGTTTGTTAACCGGATCAGAATGGTCATCGTATGTAGTGTACTTGAAAATTTTCTGTGTGCGAAAATTAAAAAAAGCTTCAACATGCTTCAGAAGATCTTAGTGGAAGGCCTTCACGGAGCGTCGATTGAATAAATGCATCATCATAGCGATCGACTGGCACTATGTTGATATTGGCCATCCTCTGTGAAATGTACAGGTTCGCACACTGAGACATGGCGAGCGTTTCTGGTTGGGACGAATGGCAAAAATGAAGATAGTCGTTGTGTTTAAGGGAGAAATACTTGGCAACAGAGAACTGCCGCGAATAAAATCTCCCGCTAACTTTCAAATGTATACAATCGTGGCTATGTCCTTCTACGACAATGGTGGCCGCATAATGGTGGCCATTTACTAGAATGGTCAGGGGCCTACTCAATTTTAAGGTGGGTCAGGTAAAATTTATAAGTTTAACATCCGCTGTGTTGCGCTGCATATTAAGCTACTGGATATATAGTTGTTGTGAACTTTTCAACTTGTTTTGACTAGTGATGGTTATAGATTCAACTCGATTTTGGTATCGTTCTCCACGGAAGTAGTTGAACTTGTCTGAAATAATTTAATTGTTGGATATGCAAAATACAGAATCCAAAAATAGGTTGTTCCTCAATAAATATAAGTGTACTTCTCTAACCAGGACGGTTTAGTAGTTTCATCGTAAAATTTGACCTCACACGGAGTGTGAATCAGTTGAAGGCATCCAAGCAGAAAAATTAGCTTTACCCAATCTTTAATCGAAATGAGAAAAATTAATTTAAAATAAAAACATTTATTTAAACAAAAGGTTACGTTACTTCACCAAAATTGGTCGCTGCAAAAAATTATTATAAGTGTTTGATCTAAACGTCTCAATGAAGATAGATAAGTCTATTGTCGATTTTCCTTATTATTACAAAAAACTGAAAAAACATCCTCCTGTGTAGATTCTATTAATTGTTGGGACTTAGAAATTGCTGAAGGACACCCTTACCTATAAAAATGTTCATCTTTGTTAAGGAACTCAATGTATCAGGATAGTACAGAAATTTTATTTGCATTCTACAAAGCAAACGTTTACATCTTAGCAAAAGGTGTTAAAGAGACACGTTCAGACGTTGAGCAGGTAAGCTAAGAAAAGAAGAGGTTGAAAACTAGGATATATAGGTTATTTACACTATTTAGGTGTAATAAGAACCCATAGTTTCCTTATCGATTAGTTTTAAGGGTTTCCTTATTGACTATTTCTACTAGGCGCCTTTTATAGCTGTATACTTTTTAAAACCAGAAGAAAAATTAAAAAATCGCGGTTCAAAAGCTGTATGTTTTCAAAACAAACTGAAAGCAAATTGCTTTTATCGAGGGTAATGCATCAAGTTAAATTGTGTACCTTGAATGCTATTATTTATTGATCTATTGCTAGTGGATGTTTTTCAGGTCGCAGTTTCATACTTTAAGGGTTGTAGTAAACAGTTTTATCATAAAGCGTAGAGGATAGCGTTACTGTCGAATCGACGGTTCCCTAACTGCTCGGGGCCTATAGACGCTATGGGTAACGGCAAATGTCCAAGGCTCGTTGTATGAGCGCCTACTCGAACTTGCCGATAGACTTCTTTAAGGCGCAACCCTACAGTAGTTTGGATCCGCTGTAGATAATGCAGCCACGCGAAAGTTAAAGGCTAGAACTCGAGTTTGTTTGAACGGTTGCTGCGCGTTTCACCGCCTCACGCAGCAGAAATATATCATGCTCGAGCCCGAAGAAGTGATGAAGACCTTTACAGATTCACATTAAATAAGTTTCGTGCTAGAACGTGTCTCGTAACCCTTTAAGTTTAAGAAGTTCCTAGAATGAGTCAAAGAGTACTGCCATGTCAAGGCTTCGTAAACAATGTCACTGTAGCATGGCCGCATGACTGAAGCGGCCTCTTGAAGTTTGCATGCGACGATGGAAAGCATCCCTGTATCGTTCAATCCGAGTTCTTGGCGAAGTTAGCGACCAATGTGCGAAACATATTAAGTTTCTAAGTGCGCTATGGAGTACGTCAACGCTAAAAGCATCTAGATTCGATGCGTTGGTATAGCACAAGACCATCTCGGATGCCAAGCTCTTGCTGATGCCCGCCATAGAAGCATGTACTTATAAACGGGCCATGAAAGGGAACGCAACGTTATTGCGGATTACGCAAGCCGCGATTACGTCTTACTACTCTGGGAAAACGTATGGACTTATAGGCGTCCAACAAATTGTACAGCACTTTCCTATCGGCTATAGCATATGTTCGCAGATTGGGGAAATAATGGCTCGGTTCAGTTCTCGAAGTCCAAAGCCTAAGGGAACGAACGCGTGGTTTCCGATGTTATTTTCATTCAAGAGAATGGAAGAAGGTTTAGCTAACGAGAGACCAAACGTACGCCGTACGAAAAACAAGCGGCCGTATATTTTATCGAGATCTAAACGGAGACAAGTGCGCCAACACCGTCGGTGACGATGCACAGCCACAAAGAAGGCGGCCAGCCGCTACATCCTGTCGCAAGATCGCAATATTATTGGTACTCTCCGAAGGTCGTAGCCGCTTGGAAGATACTCGAATGGCTGCACCATGGCTAGCACCGACGCTGGCCATTACGATCAGAATGCAAACAATGGACAACTGCTTGCGTAAGTTAATGGTAAATAATCCAATGAATCACGCAGCGCTACTTGGCACCTACAAGGCTAGCGGATAGTAGACTCAACATGCTATTGGCTGACCCCGCTCGCGGTCGCTCGACACGCTAGCGGAGTCAGCCAAAAAAATCGATGAAATTATTGTAAAATTGAACAAGATCCGTATGTGTGGTAGACATGATATCGTTAATGAACAACCACTATTAGACAGCTTTCTCTCAATCTCAGGAAAACGTGCTGTAGAAAGAAAAGCTCGATGTCTGAGTACTACACGAATCGATGCAAAAGGATTTACTTTATCGTATCTCCGTCCGCGAAATTCTACAGAAACGTCACGGAATTAGGCCATTTCTACGGTAGCTATTCGTGGATGATCAAAAGGACAGTATATACAACAATATTGTGCAAATAAATGCTTCACAATTTGTAGCGAAGTTCAATAAAAGTGACCATATGTGTGATCTATGAAATGCCGCCGCCTGGTAAATCGACGACTAATTCAGACATCTACCGTCAACACATAGCAAGAATACAATCAGCCATTGAAAGAGTTGATCGGATGTAACAAGCGGACAAGGCGTCGTCTTCGTTTATGATAACGCCATACCACATATGTCTTTAGCCGCCCGGCGAGAATAAAAAGAAGTTGGGTGGTAAATTTCAACGCATCACCCATATGCCCTGCATCTTGCACCACAAAATTAGTGGTGTCCATTTCGGTTTCTACAGAACTCCCTTCATTGAGTTAATTAGGTCAAATGTAAGAATGTAAAAATTACTTGCCACGACTTTCTACCCAGAAACCACAGTGAATCCATGATAATGGGATTAAGCTGTTACTCGAAAAAAAATGGCAGAAGGTCACCAATCAAAATAATGCATACTTGGTTTAGTGATATTATTTTAAAATATAGCAAAATGTTTGTTTTATTTTAAATATAATTCAATCTATATATATATATATATATATATATAATCCAATAATCCGACATACATATATGTGTGTGAATTCGTGCATTATACATTGCTTAGAAAGCGTCGTGCGCCGAGTGAGTACTTCTCGGCGGAAGTTCCGATGGAATATATTAAAGAATGCCGAAAACACCTGACTAGAAGGCCTCTAGCAAAATTGTTTGTTACCAGTGCAATAGTTTAAAAACCACAAAGGTGATTACACCTCAAGGCTGCAAATAGAAAAACAATTTTACAGTGCTCATAGGAGCGTTTGAACAACGCGTTCATGATCGGCTTAGTATCGTATCATTCGAAGCGCGTGTTATTAAATCCTAAGAAAAACGCTGAAGACAAGGAATGAGCAACGGGTTTTTCAGAAACGCTAGAGGCGATCTGCCAAAAAAAACACTAGCCTGAGGCACATCGACGCAACAAATAAGATATGGATCTTCACCATAAAAGGATTGGGTAAGATCATGATAAGCTGATACTTGCCTATACTGGAATTCGATATTAGGGGCATTCTTTATTACGAGATAAAATTGCCCAAAAAAAATGGTCGATGTCACGAGAGATCTCGAATTCTTTACTTCAAACACCCAAGGACTGACAACGGTGCAGTGTGCTTGTTTGACTATGGTACACGATTTATCGCCGCGTTTTAATGACGGCTTAGATCGAGGAATGTAAGTCATACTGTATGTAGCCTAACGAATCTTGTTATCGATTCTCTCAGGAGAACTCCATCCATCATCACGATGCTGTATATATTAATGCGAATCAAGTATTTACACAGCACCTTCAAAAAGCCCCCGCACCGCTGGCTTCAGTATGCAAACGGTAAGCAAAAGTACATCTTACGTAGTGACTCCAATCATAAATAGCTTTAAAGTTGTGAATTTGACCTCCAAGTAGCCCCAGATATATATGGTGTCCAGCAGTATTTCGTATATATACAAATATATATACATGGAAAAGCCCCGGAAAAGACATAGGGAAATTACGTAACTTCACCGTTCCCAATAACAACTCCCACCATTATATAAACTCTTAATTAATATGCACGTTTATTAAATTATGTGTGTATATTTACATGAAGATAAACGTGCATATTACTTCACCTTACGAGGTTATATGGTAATAGAAATTGTTCCTATGATTACAGTAGGTATATTTTCCTTTACAGGTGGAGCCAAAATTCGAAATTGCTCCACCCTAAAAATATTTAAAGGCTTTTCAGGCAGTTAACTAACCCCCAATCTCTCGCAATCCTCACAAAGTGAACGTACGATAACTGTTAACCAGCTATTTTTGTTCTACGTTCTCAGTTTTATAGATGAACTAATTCGTTTATGAAATACAAGCTTTTTTCTTCCCTTTAAATTTTACTTGACGTAAAAGTATTTTGGCCCACAAATCAGTAAACGATATTTTCAGTGGTCTATTTTACTTCTGTTTTCGAGAGTTCGAGTACATTGCTACACAGGTGAGCGATGCCGTTCTTGAATTATGGAAGGGTTTTCACCAGCTTGATTCGGCTCGTCTTGTTTTAACAGGCACGGTCAACTGGTCGCAACGAATAATCACGAAGAAAATCGCCACATGCGTGGAAGCTCAGATGAACTCTGAAGACAGATCAACAGAAACTCCGCAACCTGGGGAAAAAAGCGAAACCCATCTTTTACTGACTGTAAACATACATTGATTTTCTTGGCAGGACACTAACCTAACCTGCATAGACATTGGTTTAACGTGCTCGGTCAATTGTGAATTTTTGCGGCTAAGCGCTCTCAGGAAAGAAAAATTGGACAAACGTATAACCCTTAAAAAAAATAATGATTTTATATTTCTGTGTAGCATTCATAGCGCTTTTGGTAGCGTAACCATAGCGTGAACACAAATACGGGTGCACCACTAGACGTATGCAGCGACTCAATATGGAGTTCTATCTCTCAAGTAGCTCTTGGAAGACGATGCTGACTATCACGAATGCTGTATTTCGAAATTGTTTTATGCTAACAAACTGTTTACACTGAATAGCCACTCCACTCCATCATTCTTTGATTACACAAGGGCAGAGCCATGTTATATAAGTTTTAGATTCCCTACAATACATCGAAACTCTAAGCGAACCGGCAAGATGCAAGTGTCTCTATTTTTACTCGCTGATCCACTAACACGGACACATCTAAAAGCGTACCGGTAGCCTTCGGAACCTCTGCAAAAAGGGCTCACTTTTTTCTTTTTTTTTCCCTGTCTTCAATAAACTCTGTTAATGCCTCTGGGATAATATGTTCACTTGATTCATCAAAGTCGTCCATATCCCTCTTGCGATTACTCTGCGCTGATTTAAGGTAAGCCGATTTAACAGTCTCTTCGAAATCACCCCATTTGCCAAGGCGAGTATCAATAGCCGAGTTCGTTTTACTTGAGTGTCTTGACGTTTTGTCCTTTTTCATGCTGGGGAGAACCTTCGTTGATCCGCCGCCTCCTTTCACTAAGTTATGCGTTTCTGGTATTGAACGCTCGTCTGCTGGTATCAAAGGCACTCCACTTTTTACCTTGAAAAACGCGCATAATGGGCATGTAATTGTACTGGCATGATGCGGCCTGGAATTGTTGGCCTGTTTTTTATATCTATCTAAGTGAGCAGACCCCCTTCCCTTCAACCAGGCGGCCACACGCCTGGTTGAACGCGTCATTGACGACCAATAGCTTATTTGCTTTGTGAGCTCAATATTTGCTAAAAGCTTCGAAACCAATCGTTATTCTCGAGTCATAGTTTACACTTACTCTCCAGTTCATCTTATATTGGTTACTTATACTAGTAGCCATTTACCTGTATATCGTTTCCATACTTACAACTGTGGGGTTAAGTTATGATTATTTTTTCGCAGTTGCTCGATAACGAGAAATCATCAACACGCTTGAAAACATGCAAACGATACGGACAAAAGTTTCGGCGTATAGAAATATCAACATTGGCACATATCTATATATGATAGTCATAGGGAATATGTTCAGTCACATACAATTTGAAAAATCATAAACTAACTCATTCACAAATTACTAGAAGTTATACGTGGCTACATCGTAAGCTATATCATGTTTTACGTTCACTACTTAAGCACTACGTTAGCCATTACTTTACACGACTGGCTTTCAGCTCTGGAAGAACTATGTTTGTCCTTGGACTTGAACCTACAAGGCCACGTATCCCCACGTTTCGCGGGCAAGGACATCATCCACTACGCTATCAAAGAAATAGTTACACCGGAAGTGGCTGATTTATCCTATTTATTTTTCAACCAAACTAAATTTGTTTGCACCTTAAATGAACCAGGAGCTTAGGATCCTCTGAACTGCGGAATTTTATAAGTTGGAGTTTCTTAGATGGTCAAATTTATTCTGCTGTAATTATGCCTAGACATACGATATTAAATGCTTAACTAGCTAATAATTAAGCCAGCTGATAGCACATACTTGGATATTAAGTTGCCCACGTTTTTGCCCCAGTTGCTGGAATACATTGGATTTTGATCCTACAAGTCAGATCGGTCGTCTCAATTTAATAAAATCTTTTCTGAGACATCTTGGTCTACTTATTGATTAAATTATGGCAGACTTATATGATCTTTCGTCATGGCGGGACACGAAAATGATGTTAACTAAAATGCTTCTAAGCGTGGTGACTTGACAGAATAGGGAAAAACTATCGTGATTTTTTTGGCTTGTCTCAATGAAATATACCTAAGTAAACATTTGGAGGTCTTTCGGCCTTGTTTAGAAGACTATGAGTTCACTCAAAGTCCGAAATTGTTGATTTTTATTGAAAATAATTTCTAGCCGTTTCTCTGCAGTTACCCTGAATAAGGTGGGGTTATCGTTGAGCTTGTTTGAATTCAAGTTACGGTTGCGGAGTGGCGCTTCAACAAAGCTGGAAGACCACAACGAAGTTTCTAAACATGAAATGGTCTTTAATTTTTGGAACGAAAATAATCCGCGTAGATTACTGGTAAAATATAGCGCACATACGAGTTTGGAAGTTACCACATGTGCAATTTAGAATTTCCAAGTTTAACCACGCTCCGAGTTTAACCACGATGCAGACGACTCGTACAATTTTCCTGACATTCTTAACGGCGCTTGCGGGTGGCAAACTTCTTGCTAGAAGATGTTAGGAATAATTCCAGCGAGTTAGGGCAAAACGAGCCAATTTATCTGCATGCTAAAAAATGCATCAAATTTCCTAAGTTTTGATGCCGCATGAATGTAACTATTATTCTGGGGCGGTGGCCTAGAGTTTTGTCTATTGCTAGGTAAAAATAGATTTCTTTGTAGCAGTAATACAAGGTGTATACCCTGAATGAGCGTAATTCAGAATGAAATCGCGCATTAAGAAAGGAATAACGGGAGTCACGCTTCGTCTATAAGAGTCTCTTCTAAATTTTGCTACCAGTAAGTCAGTACCAAAATAAAACCCTGTTAGACATCTTGACGTTGCGGTAACAGTGAAAATACGCTCTGGATGTCATATAGTTCGAGTTGTTCAAACACCCGCTGATCTATAATGAATCACATGGTTGCTTTATAGTAAATACGATGAAATTTGGCATCAACCTTCGAAGAAAGCCAGTCGTCTCAAAGGTTTTTACCGTCTTAGGTCGCTGTAGCGACAACGAACAAGTTAAGCGATGTACTTCTTCGCGTGTCTAGTACGCTAAGTAGATAGTCATATTAAGGACAAGTGCATTTGTTTAGTATCATGATAAGTCGACGATAGCACTCTGAAAAATTACTGCAGTACAGACAATTCTCTGATTGATTTCTTGAACTCGAATAAAGATACATTGAAATTGCTATGAGAAGCATAGTTAAAAACGATAAGGCTTTTCAAGCAGAGCTGTACCTCATCATTCCGAAGGTCGGTAAAACGTATGTTCAACTTTGACGATATTCTTCTGTTCCGATCACCATATGATCCTAACGGTGCTCCGTCTAGCCTATCATCTGCCTTATTTTGTGCTGGGCATAATCTATAACGTCGCTATGTATTATAAAATTGTAGATATTCTATTATTATTATTATTATTTATATTCGAGAACATTCATACCGTCTTCTGGACAAACGGCCTTACAGACTCGTGAAAAAAACTAGAGAAAGGCGACCGAAAATAACTACTATACCATTCGATACGTGCTCCTGGCCACGAAAAATGGTACTTAGCTAAAGGTATATGGAAGGTTGAAACGAAAATCTCCGCGCTTTTGCTTAACAGAGAATATTATTTTTTTTTTCCTGTGACGATAAGTTATTATGTTTTGTATTTCCTGCCATTGTTCGCGACTTTTTCTTGTCCTTCGATCAAATGACGTCTGCCGTTTCGTCGAAAGGTAGCAAGTTTCGTCTCAAAAGGATTCTTCAGTCACATTTTGAGTCCTTGATCCATGTCGAAGGCAAGACCACGAAGGTGATTCCCTATTGAACAGGAAAAAATAAGGTGGATTTCCGTCGGCGTAAGATCCAAAGAATATGGCAGATATAACGAAACCTATCATTCGAAGTCCAAGAACGCAGCGATGTTTGCCGTGTACAGACCCGCGTTCTTATGAATGTGGTTTTTTTCCACCTGGAAGATCCATATTTAAGGAGCTCTTTTAAGATTACATTCACAATACAACACAATAATATTAAAGCACGCTGAAAAGCAACAAGGATAACGGTATACCGAAGTAAACAGCAAGTGAAGGGAAGCGGAAAAACAAACATTTTTCTAAACGCCACAACTTTAGTTTCAACACAATTATAACATATTATATAGGATGTTTTAAAGGTTATCAGTAAAACGTTTCATTTCAATTAACTATACATTAAAAAAGATTACGTTCATCTTCCCTCATTCTGTTTAACAGGCTTCACAGAATACATGATCATAGTAGCGAGATTATTCTCTTACTTCGTTTCTCAGACAGCGTGTGCATTCTATGTTCCTGGAATCGTAACCTATTCTGGTGCACCATGCCAACTCCGTCAAGCCGAAGATGGCGAAGACGTCGGCGGCGATAGATCTACGACGAGGAGGTTTAAGACCAATTACGACAAACCGTCAAGTGTTCAGAGTAAATCGACCCGCAGAATAATAAGTGGTTAGGCTGTTTATCCAGCAGCAATAAGATATATGCCCCAACATCCAAAATACTCGCTGGTAATAACTAGTTAACAAACGACACATTTACGCTAAAGAGAACCGCTTTTTATATATAGCACCTAGATGAATGTACCCTAGTTGTGAGGCAATCCTCTGAGTCTCGATATTGCAGTCTTGAATGAAAAATGATCGTCCAATTAGTCTCAATACAGAGAAACCCTTGTGATTTTCTAAAGGTCAACCACGTTATGAGGTTCAATCCCTACGATCTCATCCCATTTGTGAGCTTTGACTTCGGATCTCCACAGTAAACCAATGTTTAAACGTTGAATTAAAATTAAAGTACTACTTTTGCTTGTGTGGGATGTTTCCTGTCTCTGCTTGTAGTTAGAAAGAAACATTTTATGTTTATTTAAAAGTTGCGTATGTGCGAACACCTGCGTTCATTACTGCACTAATACCTATTTTTTACAGACTTCAGCTCCTAAATGG